CTAAACTTCAGTATTTAAATTGATTGGTGATAATTTAGCTTTACTATTTTTTTTTAGAGAGAGAGACCTCTAGTATTGTACTCCACATGTTTTTGCAATCAGTAAGTATGCAGATAACGTTCTTTCTATTCCACTTAGCACAATTTGAAATTATCAGCAAGTGAAGTATATTCAACTGCTTATCTACAGAGGGGCATGTAGGACTCCAATTAAGTTTACATGGATAAATGCAGATTTGTGTTTGCAGACGTCAAGATGACAGAAGCTTAATACTGTAAAAAGGCTAATCAACACTGAATATGTTTAGTGTCAGTAAATATTTATAGTGAAAACGTTGCCTTAGTTTTGTGCCTTGGGATTCCAAGTTCTGATTTTTAGTGAGTAAAAATGTGGTGTTATCATTTTCATAAGTCTGATATAAAATTTTTATTTCCTATAAAGTTAATTTTATTGTCTTTTTCTTCTTTTTGTTTTCTTGGGAAGACAAGTTAGGAGTTAGGCTACAGTTTATAAATTAATCAAAAATCTGGTATATTTAGCAAGGTTTTAAGGCAGCTGTAACCCAGAGGATGAGGAAGGAAAGGAGGCAAGATAAAGAGACAGGCAGTATGGGGAGTAATTATAATTTAATTTTATTTTTTTTAATGAGGACTTCTTCAAATAGTGGTTACTAATCAGCTCTGGTCAACAATGTGATTATTTAGTGTGCTTATGTATTCGTTAAGCAGTAACTGTAATTTAACTGGAAAATTAATTAAACCTCAGGAATACGTTTGTTATATATAAAACACACAAATACATATTTTTTTTTTTATTTCATTAGCTCTCCAGAAGTTAATTGTTAGTCTGCTCTTTTATTACAAATGTATTCTGGAAAATAGTGTGTCAACATTGAAATCCAAGAAGTACATCTTAAACTGAGCTTCTACTGATGTACTATTGTATGAAGAATACAACCAAGTGAAATAAAAAAATAGAGGTACAAGTAACATTGATTATTTTTTATTATATTTTGACTTAGAAATGGAGAATATAACTGTAACTACAGTTTTGCGTCAGTCTTAACAGTGTAAAGAAGATGATGCTGAAGTGAAATTTTGTTTTCTGGAGGGGAAATATATTGATATGGTTTAGGATTTTGTTTGTTGGAAATGTCATGGCTTGTCAGGTTAACAAATGTGATTTTGTTCCTGGCAGACTTCAGACCTGGTCAAGAAAAAGAAAAATTCCCGGAAAACTACTGCAACACAAATACAATATACTTCAGTTTAGTGTCTAACTTTGCATGAAATAAGCACTGCCTGTTAGCCTCTGTTTGATCCTGTGAGAGTGTGGGGCTAATGTCTGGCCAGTGTTTTGGAAGCAGCAGGTAGTCAGGAGCAAGCTGCTCTAGGGGTCCATATTTCTGTAGCTTAGCAGTTACTCACACACAGATGGAGACCTTACGAACTTTGACAGAGGTCACGCTAAATTGCAAATCTAAAACTTCTAGACTTCTGAAGGATTATACCGGTACTTTTTTTTTTTTTTTAAAAAAAAAAGCCATACAATTGAGAACGTCACTAAAGGTATCTACTCAGTTTTGAGAAGTAGATCAGCCATTCAGTCATTGCTCACATAATGAGGCTGATAAAGATAGCCTTTCATGACACTTTAAAGGAAAACTGTTGCATATTAAAATTTTAATCTACATATGTAACATGCATTTGTTATATTGCTTCCCAGACACCTAGGCTTGGCTGCTCCACTGAACGTGTTAAAGGAGTTTTGGAGCTTGAAATGTTGCAGAAGCCTCTGATTTTTCTGATGCATATGAGTTGGAAATAATTAAGATACCCATAGTATTTTTTTATTTTAGGTCTTTTGGGGCAGTCAGTTGAGACACCAAGCTCTCTGTCAGCTGTCATCAGCCATCATCTCACCGGGGATCTTATAGCAGTTTAGGAAAGAAAAACATGAGATGATATAGTTACACATTGTAGTGTGTTTCAATGCTCCCCAGCTTTGAATCCAGGATTTAAGAGCTCCTCTTTTGTCTTCTAATTATAGTCCTGGAGCTGTACTTAATAGATGAAAATCTCTGTAATATTTCAACTTACTGTTCAAATGGGAAAAATTGAAGGGATTTTGTAGCATCCAAAGACAGACACTATCTGTTTCCCAGTTATAGTTACTTAGCATAAGATTTTTTTTTTTTGATTTTTTTTTTTTGATTTTTGGTTTAGTGGAGGTGCAATGTGAGTTTCATTCAGTGTTTATGAAATCAGGGTCCATGAATGACTGTCTGGGTCACAGACAGGAAGGAGGCTGATCCTCTTTTAATCAAATGGTCACATTTTTATCTTGTCATCATTGAACTGGCTGTGTAATGTGCTACTTAATGGCTTATGAACTAGTCTTTAAAGCTTCATGTTTCATGTAAAACTTCATGTTTCAGTGAGGCTGAGTCTGACTCCATGTATTGAATGTGGTTTCAGTGACGGCCACACAGAGAGCTTGAAAATTCACACCAGCAGCAGACTGTAGGGGAAAAAAAGCATTAAAACTGTTTGAGCTGGTTTGCACATAAAATAACAAGAATGTTATTCATGCTTCTAAACTGGAAAAACACAAAGGGAGAAGAAGTAGAAGTGCAAAAGAATCTCCTTCTATAGCCCCAGCAATTCATAGTCAGTTTACTGCTAGTGTCTTTGCTTTGGTGAGATCTTGATAGGGAAAACAATTCCAAAAAGCTTAATTTGCAGTTGAGAGACCTGAATTTGCAATGGATTTTATTCATGTTATTTTAAACGAGAACTATTAGAAAAAAATGTGCAAATAACTTTGAGTTATGTCATCCTTGTATTAATCATAGTATCTTATAAATAAAGGTATATAAATTTCAAGTTCAGAATCTTGTGCTTTACAAGAGTTATGGGTGCACAGACAGGTTTTTACAAGATAAAGTAGTTTGTGATGTGCTCTGCATTTTATACTTTATGGTGTGCGCCTAACACCAAAGTTCAGGTGACCTGGCAAATGCAGTGTGATTTGGAGTTGCCTGTCCCTCTGACACTGTGAGGAAAGAATGTAAATTACTTTCTATTTCCTGAAGGGTGAAAACGTGCACACCGCACAGCTGAGGTTGGATAACCTCTTTCCTATAGCAGCTTCCTCAGTTATCCAGACCTGGAATGGATGCAGCAGCTGCATAAACTTACAGTTTATGCTCCTGAATTGAATGTCTATTGCAGCTTCTCTTAAGAATATTTATGAGGCAGTGTTATTCTCTAGTCATGTTAGGACTGAACTTTTGTGGCTCTTCAAATTTTCTGTTACAATCTCTTTCCAAAATTGAGAAGAGAGTTGAGATAAAGATGGTGTTTTTCTTACCTGCATAATCTTAAACTTTCCTTTCGAGGTATGACCTGTGTGCTACTCTCAAAACAGAAAGTATCTTCTCTTTGAAAATTGTTTGGAGTGCAGTAGGCAGAAGATAGTTTAAATTATCTGGGGATTTTTTTCTCAGGGATTTTTTTGTACCTCCTTTCCTCTCCCATCTCCTACAAAGACTTCTTTGTATTTGATATTTCAGTGAAATTACTTTTAACAACCATCATGTTTGGTGTCAAACTGCAAGTACTTCTGGCAAAGTGCAGTTTAGCATTAAGTTACTAAGTTACACAGCCATGTTAAATTCAAAGAAAAATAAAGCTTGAAGGATTTCAGAAAATCATCTAGTCCCACTCCCTGAACTAAGGTATATCAACTCTATTTGTGTCCTCACAGGTGTTTCTTTAACCAGTTTTTAAACATTTCTGCTGACTCCAGAATCTTTCCCTAGGTAATCTTTTTCCAGTGTTAACTATCCTAAGTACATATCTTGTGCTGACATCTACTCCTGATTATGTTTTTTCCAGCCTATGCTGGAAATGGGATATCGTTTATTGCTTTCCTCTCTTGAGAAAACAAGTTAATCTTTTACTCATCTGTGAGGAAGGGGCAGAGGATTTAGGGTTTTCTTTGTGGGTACCAGACTGACACTGGCATCATCATTTGAGCTGTGTAGCTTTAGAATGCATTTGTTAGAAGTTGTCTTTCTTTGTTGGCACAAAAAGCAGGGAAAAAGAAAGGAAAGCAAAGTAAGAGTAAAAGAAAGAGAAGAGACAGGCTGAGAACTGGAATGAAAGGAGATGAAGAAATTGAGAAGAAAGAAAAAAGAAAAAAAAGGAATAATATTCAAAGAAATTAAAGGACTTAAAGAAATTCAAGTGGCTCTAAAAGCTCTGTGATAAATAATTTGAGATTTTTTTAGGGGGTGGGGGGGAGCCTGTATGCCTAGCAGGGTTATGCTAAAGGGGGAATGGGGCATTTGATAAAAGAATTGACCAGGCAAGGTTGGGTAAAGGTATATATGGAGTGAGCAATACATTTCTTTGTTTTGTAAGTTCCACAGGAGTCTTTTTTTGACTTAGAAATGTTAAAATGTTATAAAATTATATGTAGATGCTAAAACTTTTTACTGTCTTTCATTACTGTGAAAGATACATGGTACACTGGAGTGTAACATGGCGCATCTCTTTCCCAGGAGTGTGCGTATATAAGGTGGCAGGGTGACAAGGTGGACCAGAGTTCACTGGAATGGGGCTGGTATTTATGGTTCATGATCTGTCATTTCAAGGAGGTGGCTCTGGTCTTGCCTATGTCTGCTGTGACTGAACCAAAAGCCTCTTGGTTGTGTGTGCTTTCACTGGCATAACTAGGTGTTTGAATTAAGCTTGGTGAGGTGAAAATTTGGAAGGTTTACTTCTTAATTAACCTCCTTAAACACTCAGTCTATCTTGAGGAAGGACTAGAACAAAACTGATATATCTTCATTGATTACATCAGTTCTATGATCTCTAAGTTGTGAACAGGTAGGTATTCTACAAAGAGCAGAGCTCATACTTTTACATGTTGTTTCCTACTGTAATTTACGATGAACCTGTTTACATGATTTTGTATTGATTTTTTGGTTTTAGGTGTGGCTCACAACATTTCTTTACTGCGAGAAGTGATAATTCATCCACGCTTTGTTCAAGGAGACATCAGCACGAAATTCCTTCCTGAAGTCTATCCTGATGGTTTTAAAGGTTTGTTCCATTTGGGGATGTTTGTGGGTTTTTTTCTTGAGAGGTGTTGTTTCTGATTATTGTTTCTTTATATTTATAGACTGACATGTTCCCCAATCAGACTTTACTTTTTTTTTTTTTTGTAATGTGTCTGTGCATAAACACAATTAGAGTTTTTAAATAATGTATAGTATAATTGAAACAGTTACTTTCTTACTTTCAAGAAGGCAAAATGCATACTTGTAGTGACAAAATAGTAAATGATGTATATCCAAAGTCAAGAAAAACAATTGGTAGGTGATAGGAAATATGGAAAATAAACATCAAGTCAACTCTACCATGCTATTGTGCTTCATTACAGACAGTGCTCCTACTGTTAACTGAAGATAAGATTTCTCTTTACTCAGCACTATTGCTTCTCCACTGAGTTTGTGCAGCATCTTTAGAATTGCCTTTTGGCACCCTTTGTATTCACTGTAGCATTGTCTGGAGGATCTGGCATTTTGTCAGAGTATTTCAGTAACCTGGTCTTGATACCCATACACACAGTAATGGGCATCACCTTGAAATTATTAACTCATACATTAGGTTAACTTAAAAACAAATGCAAATGTTTCTTTACAACTTCCCAAACAACTTGCAAAAATATGTAACAACAGTTGGTGGAGAAATGTAGGTAAACAAGTAGATTGTTTTCCTTTCACAAGGATCAAATTTTAAAAGCTTGTCTTCTCTCAGCCAATCTGCTGTAGATGCTTGCTTGTCCTGTGTGGTCAGAGACTCAGTCCTGCTATACAGGCCTTAAATCCCAGCTGTCATTCATCAGGCAGAACCTCATATTTTTAAAAAAAAGACAGTGTTTATAGCTCATCATTCATGGGTCCTTTATGAATCCCGTGGAGACTCCTTTCTCCTGCCGTTCATCGCTCATCCAGTGTGGCAGAATCCTCATCCCGCTTTGGAGACGGCGCTGCCAGTTTGGCAGTCGTGGGACATGACTGGCATCTTGCCAAATTCTAGTCGTGTTACGGAGCAGAACAGATTTTTCTTACCTCAGGACTCAGTATGTGAGTTTGGTGCAAAGAATATTCATCCACTGAACTACTGTATATCAAGATGAAATTGGCAACTCTGTGTGATACAATCCTACGTGTGGGATTAATGCATCCACCTTGTTATTGGCTCCTGACTGTGTCCGGAGCAACAGGAGTTAGTCGCCTTGGGTGGCAGTAAGCTTGTGATGGTTGAAGCTCAAATGGTCCTTTGTCATCTTTGCTAAGGTGTGCTTATCTAATCTTCAGGCAACTCAGCTGGCTTTCATCCAGCATAGACTTGAGGGTGCTATGATCTGCTCTGAAGGCTCAGGGCTGCTGATTAGCTGGTCTGTCTCCCTTCTCTGACGCTTTAATACAGAATCCCATGTCCTGTTTTTTTGATGGTTCTGGGACTTTTCAGTGCTTTTCCCCAGTGTATTCCGTTCCCATAAGCTAGCATAAAACTGCATTATTTTATTGTTGCTGCTTTTGTTGGGGTAGTTTTTTGAGAGTTCTTGTGTTGATTTAGTTCATGAAGGAATCTGGTAAACTTCAGCAGATATGCAAAGTGAGTGGCAAGGCAGGAATGGGGAGAAGGGAATGGAGGAGAAAGGCGAGGATGCAAGATGTTAAGTAGGTTTATACCATGTTGTGAAAAGACAGCCTCACCTCACACACAACTGGGAACAATAAAAGCAGAAACCATTCTACCCTTTTTTTGTGATAGTGTGTCTGTTGGGGCCCTTGATCACTTGTAAGAAGCTGGGACAGGTTTTGCTGACCCAGAAGAAGACTCACTGCTCTGGATTTTTGACTATGGAAAGGCACTCTTGTCTTTTGTTCTTTTATGCTTGTTTTAATATTTTATATTGCAGTGTTAACCTGTGTATAATCAGTTAATTGTTGGTCCACAAATTGCAGGATGACAAGAAATTTGTTGTGGGGTCATCTGACTTGAAATGTATATGCATGCATTTGTGTGCATAGTATGCACTGATGCAAATAACTGATTAGTGTTGCAGTTTGAGGTAAGCAGTTACACTGTATTAACAGTCTTAAACATAAGCTTTTGTTGTAACAGTTCATGATAGAAACTAATGAATGGCACACCTTAAATGACCCTGTTGTATGAAAAGCCTTGCTCTTCTACTTCCATGTATCAAATACAAGCATGCATTAGCCTTCTTAATGATAAAAAAAATGCAGATATCATTATTACAAAGTATTCATATTTCAAGAGTACTGATTCAAAGGTCACTGAAGTAATTGAGAGCCTTTTTAATAATGTAGTTTGCTCTGGATCAGACCCTCCTGGTTCGTTTTTTTGTGTTTTTTTTTTTGTTTGTTTGTTTTGTTTTTTAAAGAAAACAAAAAAGAATCAGTGAATTGAATTAGAGGATGTTTTAAAGTACATATTGAAAAATATTTCTGCAAATGCAAAGACTCTAATGGGAACTGTTGAAGGCAAGCAAGGGCAGATGACGGGTAGAAGCTCAGCAAGAGAAACAAAGGCAAATTAACTTATGTGGTGTAATTCCTCTACTTGCTTCAACTAATTTTTTTCTATAAATACCCAAGGTAGACTTTGCTAAGAGGGTTTGAAAATTAAGTAGCTTCATGTATCTTAATATTGTCTATAAAAGACATGTAGCTGTAAAAAAAGATCTGAGATAACCTGAAAAATTAGAGCAATGTGTAGCCAAAGTGGATTTGGAAATATGTGCTGTTGTTAGCAGTAGGAATCCATACGACAAGAAATTTTTTAATTTTGAAAACTTACAAAATAAAAAATATTTCAATGAAGATGTGTGCTATATTAATGCTGGAACACATCCTGTGTGTTCCTTTTGTAAACTGCATAATTACCACTGTCGGTCTACATTGATGGTAAGTAATGAATGTCAGCTGTGTTCTTTCTTGTGACTGCATGAAGTACTGGCCCATTTCTTATGTGCATTTTTCTTCAAATATAAATATTAACTTTAGTCTTTCTTAAGAGTAAAATAAGAGATGCTTTGTTTTCTGGTCTCATTTTGAAGTGTTTCATTATAAGTCCTTTATTAGAAGGCTTTTACTATAAGTTAAGAAAAAAATTAATTATTAGAAATATGTTGGCAGCTTTTCCATTAACCTGTGATGCCCACCTCAAATTACATCTAGAACGGGAATGTTTAGTAATTTTCATGATTAGGGTTTAACTCTTTTTCTTCCCTTCTTTAAAGAAGCATTCATTAACAAGACCAGTTTGTTTATTGCAAGTTATTCTAAAATGTTGCTGTGCTGAAGCTAACCTTGCTCAAGGTACGATTGGTGTGGGAGAGCAGGTGCTGTCGTACCCTTTTGTTGTCCAGGCGAGGGATGGATGCTGGAACGCGGCTGGCAGTGGATCCGCTGGGGCGGGCCATCGCTCTGAGCACGCACACATGTGCTGAGCTTTGTGGGTCTGAGGGTGGGTGCAGCAGCACCGATCAGGTCAGGTGTCACAGATACGTCTGTCTTGGAGTGGCCTCCAAGCACTTCGCACAGAATAAAAATGTTTCAAGGAAGCAGGAGTAGCCCGTGCTACCAGGTCGAGTACGGTCAGACGAGCTTCAGCAGCTTCCAAGCAGCCTGGGATGCCTCTGGATTCCCTAACCTGCCTGATGAGAAATATACTATCTATTATCCCTATTTTGTGGTCACAGAAAATATCTCTGTTTTCATCAAGATCCAAGAGGAGTCTTTGACAAAGAACAAATTAAACTCAGTGATCCTTAGGTTAGTACCCTGTTCATTGGATCATTCTTTGTGGTTCAGTCTGTTTCACAGTTAATCTTGCCCTGGATATCTGTTTTAATACTGAGATTTTTTTAAAATGGTCCACTCTTCCTTGTTATTAAATGATGTCTCAAATGCTTGGTCAGTCTCTCTGGGAGACACATCCTGCACAAATGAGAAATGGGGCATTTTCCAAGAGATTATCACCAACGTCATACCAAAACACGGGAAAAAAGGAAAAAGAATACTTCCCCTCTTCTAGCATGTTTAACCTCATTTGGGTGGAGAGGAAGAGCAGAAATTCTGATGGACATTCCTTTATGTTAACTGATTTCTAATACAGAAAGGATGAAGGAGGGAGCACCTCTCTCTCGATTACATATTGGCTTCAGAGACTGTATATGAGGTGAAGGCTTTTATATATTGTGTTTGTCGTAATTATATGGGTTGAAGGAAATGATTATTCGGCTTTACTCAACACTTACCGCTTCTGGAATACTGTGTCCAGTTTTAACCCCCCACGCATGTAAGAAAGATGTCAATAAACATGAGTAAGTCCAGCGAAGAGCCGCCAGGGTGGTGATGGAGTTGGAACAGAGGAGCTGTGAGGAAAAGCTGGGAGAACCAGGCTTGTTTAGCCTGGAAACAAGAAAACTTTGGGTGGACCTGATGGCAGCCTTCTCGTACCTCTGAGGGGGTTGCCAAGAAGATAAGGGCAGGCTCTTCGGTGAGTTGCAGAGCAGCAGAGCAGGAGGCAGTGGTCATAAATGGGAGATTTACAAGACCTGACTGCACAAACCTCTGAACAACCTGGTCTGAATTTGATGTTGAGATTGCTTGGTGGGGAAGAGGTGCTCGCTGAATAAACTAAAGACCTCCCGAGGTCTCTTCAACCTCAGTCATTCCGTGATTCTGTTATGAATGACAGCACTTTTTAGGTGAATTGGGGCTGTAAATATGACTTCTAAATTTAAGTCTGGAAACCTCTGTTATTAGTTGAAGGTGGGTATTCATCTTCCCCTAGCTGTGTTATTGTTAGGAGAGGATGTTTGCTGTTAATTCCATCCATCTTCTCCACGCTGGAATCTAATCTTTACCTTCATTTTCTGAAACTACTGGATTATAAAAAGTTATTTAACAGCTTACTTGACTTTCTTTTTTCTCGTAGGTGAAGCCAAGAAATATTTCTTGGTCTGTCACTAATCCCTTTATCATTTAAAATAGTAAAAGGTTTCCTTTCTGTATGCTATAGCATCCATCTCAAGTGATCACGAGCTCTCTGAGAAACGTACTTTTTCACTAGTCTGAATAGTTTGAGATTGCATATGCAGACAATATTGTCTGTCTTTTACCATGATCGTATGGGTGGAGCAGACCTCTGCTGGACTTCAGAAGAAATTGGACCCTTTAATAATACCCAAGTTTGTTTTCTGCTTCAGCTTACTTGGTATACATGCCATCTGTAATGGTCAACTTCAAAATCCATTGGGGAAAAACTCGAGCCAAAACAGAACCTAGGAATAATATAAACATTGCCTGCATTGGTATGGATCTGAATTATGCATTGCACTTTCTATCTTACCCATTTTGCTTTTAATTTTTATTCTTCCCAATCAGAAAACAGTCACTTTTCAAGTATTAAATGACAGACCAGGGCACATAACCAGGGCTTGTTTGTTTTCTTTTTTTTTTCCCTGTAATTGATAGTAGGAAACACATTTCTAGGACAAAATGCAAATGAGACCGTTATGGGAAAAATGACCTTTTATGTAATTTAATTTGAAGTTGGTTATGTAAAGTAATTGCATGAACCTTTTTGACTCAGCTTGGGGGATACTGGGATAATATTGATTTAAGCAATCATAACATCAGGGAAATGAGAGAGAAATACTTTCTCCTTGTCTTCCTTCCGACCAGGGTCCTGTCATTTAGTAGTAATAGATGTGTGCGGTCTAGTTTTAAATAATATGAACAACAATGCTTCCACTCCTTTAGTTGTGACAATTTTATACCCATTAATTCTGTTTTGTCTTCACCTTCTATAATTTAGCTCAGTGATGATAGTGGTAATGCAGAAGTATATCCTAGGTTGAGCAGAGAGATTTGGGAGCTGGTTTACCTTTGATGGGGTAGGTGAAATCTCCCTGTAGCCCAGGAGCCTGCAGTGATTACAGCAGAAAGGACAATGGCAGAAGTTCCCATGTTGGAAGCTGGGGAACCGTTGCTACTTATTTCACTCCCTGTGAAGGCATCACTTGGACAAATGCCCCAGAGGTAGCTTTGTTACTTTTCAGGTTGATTTTCTGCATGCTGAAAGTGAAAGACTGTGCGTTTTTATAACTTTATTGATGGTGAATATTAACTTATACCTCAAGACACCCAACTGAAATCCTGAGGGGTGGCTTCTAAAGTAAAATAGTACTTGAAGTGAAACAAAGGTATCACTATTGGGAACATTTGTGTATTTCAAAATATAGTAATGTAATTGAAAGTTAAACTTCAAAACTGTTTAAAATTCTGCTGAGCATAGCAGCAGAGCAGGAGCAGAAGGCAAGGGAAATGGGACTGGAGTTCAGAGAACTAAGGCAGTACTGACAGCAGTCTGTCTTGGTGAATAAAGGTAAATTGCCATCTTTAGGAAGCAACCTTTAATCCAGCTTCTGAGGTATGCTTCCAAAGTTATGCTAAGGACATTCTGTGGTAGGACTGTATCTTTATTACAAAGACCAAAACCCAATTTTGATAGGCTCTTGTTAATGGTTTATGTTATCTCCCAGAAATCCCACATTGGATACTGCAGTCACGACCAGTTTTCTGCTTGCCACATCTGTGCCACAACTAATGCAAATAGCAACAAATGGAGAAAGCAGATAAATATTTTTTTCATGTTTGTGATAATGAAGTGGTGAATGTGACTCTTGATCGGTTGTTAACCTGTTTCAAATTATTGACCTTTGTTCACTGTTTGGAGTTTGATTTTTATTGAAGATACAAGGAGAAAATAGTTTTTGCAGCACAGCAAGCGCAAAAGCAGTTATTGATTTAATCCAAGATGAAAGTCATGCAATAAAGCCTTCAAATCGGGATCTTTTCTAGTTTTACCTTGTTCCTTTATATGAGTTGATACTAGCAGTGTGTGTTGGAGCAGGTGGGAACTTGCAGTTTTGGTCACATGGACTTGTCGTGGGTTAGTCAGGGTAAGTGGAAGGCAAAGGTTTTAGAATAGATTCCTGATGTATCTTTAGCTGAGACATGTAAACAGATCATCAATTTTAGATACAGTGTTTTGGAAGAATTATCTTAGAGCTGCTTCACTGTGTGTAAACAGTTGGAAAACTGAAACATTTCAGAGCCAGATAGTTGATGTTACTGTACTGTATAATTATATAAGGCTTATATATGCATGTATATATACATACACAAACAGTACAAAAGTTCAGTGTTTTTTGACTTTGTCTTTGCAATCAGTTTTTCTCTTAACTGGCAAAGGAAAGATCAAGTTTGTTTCTCAAGCCAGTTCCTCAGCCTTTCAGCATTTGTATTTCTGCATGCGTTTGTTAAAATGAAGACCGTTTCCATTTCAAGGCAGTTAAAAAATAATAAACACTGAGCAAAGGAAGTTGCAGTAATCTTTAGCCAGAATATATTAATATGGACTAAATTAAAAATAGATTGATGTAGATTTTCTGGCTTGTGTTATTTTTAAATTTACATTTCTCGGCCTGCAACGGCTCCTTTGTACTGTTAGCTGGAACTGTAACGACTGTGTTTCCATCACCACGGCATGATTGCAATGCTGAGGTGGACTCTATGCACCCTCTTTACCTATCCGTATTTAATGTGCCCAGTGGAATGATGGGTCTTGTGCAGAAGACGTCCTGTTTTGAAGTTGTGCACTTGTTACTGTAAAGTCTGTTCCAGTCCTTTTCAGAGGTCTCCATTCTGGGTCTTCTGAGAATCACTTGCTAGTGACCAGTACTGGGGAATGTGAATTGATGTTACATGCAGTAGTGCTGCGGTGATGGCAGAGTGGGGGTGTAGAAGGGAGCTGTGAAACTTTCTCTGCTGCAGGACTGGAAGCCAACTCGCCCCCCTGGGCAGAGTTGCTCAGGGAGATGCAGCCTTCTGAACCCCTTCCTCTCCTCTTCCCCCATCCATTCAGATGAAATCTGTACTTGCTGGGGATGATGGCATTTGCTGTGATATGTACGTATAAAGTACTCTGAGAGCTGCGTTCTAACTGAGTTCAACTAAGACTTTTAGTCTTAACCTTTATTTTTTTTTAAACTTTATTTGCTATGTTACCTTCCCCTCTGGTTTTTGAAATACTCTTGCTTTCATCTGCGCAAAATCTCTCTCCTGAGGATAAAGTTTGTCTCTGTTTTTCCATGATAATTCAGCTTTGCATTTCTTGTCCTCTTGTACACCAGCTTTATCATCCTGCCACTGCCTTATGGACTGACTACTTGTCCCTTTGCTCCCTCTTACATCAGTTTTGACTGTTCTGCTTTTTTCACGACACCAGTCTTAGCCACGTGTTTGCCAGCTTCTCATACCAGTTCTGTCTTGTGCGCTTTCTAACCTAAAGATGGGGAGGGCAAAGTTCTGTTGCTGTGCTCTGTCTTTTAGCCTGATGAATGGACAACTGAATTTATAATTAACCTTCACATTCTGGAACAAGACCAGGCTGGGAAAAAACCCAGTTCCAATCACCCTGGTTTGCACCTTTTTGTCCAAACCTTTATTAGGTTATCTGCCTTCAGATTGTATGCTACTTTGAGCAGTTTTCTGCTTATGAAGTGCCAAACATGACTTTGACAACATTAGTCACAAACTAATAATTACACAAATGGCACTAAATGACCTAGGGCTGACAAGTAGTTCTATGCCCATTTATGTCTGGGGTTTATACCGTTGCATTATCCCCTTCACTTGGAAGATCTGTATCCTTTGCAAGGTAAGGTGCAGAGAAAGAATGCTGTATATTTTGAATAAGTTCTAATGTACAGATGGATTCCTTACCAGCATGAGGCACAATATGTCAACCAGTGACATTTCAGTAACGAAAACAAGATGCTGCAGCATCGTTCAGGTTTTTTTTCTTTCAGTTGTCAAATTGTTTTTAATAGAGATACCAGTGTTAGCAGCAGGGCTGATCTGTATGAAAACATGCAATTTAAACTCTGAAACTCAGAGCGTCTGCTATGCTGAGCCTCATCTTAATTTAGAGGGGAAAAAAATGTAAGTTTCATGTCTAAGGACTGAGCAGTGACTTAACTGGTAGCTGTAACTTTTGTGTCTGTGGTATCTAATTTTATTTTTTTTAAACTTCTTTCTGAAAACTAGGACACAAGTTGACAGATCTTGAAAGAAGAGAACTACTGGCAACAGCAGCATCTTTGTATGTGGCTGAACAACTGAGATCACAGCGATTTCTAGGTACTCCAAGGTAAGTTCATTTCTAGGAACTCAGATGTGCTGATGTGTTTTGTTAATGGCATCTTCTCATGCATGAGAGAGACTGGTGAGAAACTGCATGGTTTCTTGAGGTAGTCTGTTTTTTCTAAATTCAAATGAGCTGTGGCTTACATTTCCCTACTCACACAAGTCATACATGATTATTTTTATTCTACATATTAGCAAACTAATAGGCACAAAAACGTGTTACAAGCCAATACAGTAATTAATGCACATCAGGAGTTTCATTAATGCAAAATGTTGCTGCATTAGTAACTAACCACAAATTGAGCATCACAAATTTCCCATGTGCCCATTTGAAACGATCTAAGCACTTTGGGATAATATGAATATTCAGCTACAGAGCTTTAAAATACTGTGGATTCGTGAGTAATTTGCTACCTTGATGAGGAACCTTACTAGTTGAGGGTCTAATTCTGAAAACACTTTTTGCCTGGTAAGTGCTGGAAGAGTCAGCACCTTGCTTAAGTATATTTTTTTTGTTTGTTTTTTGTTCCTCCACCCTGTCATTCTTTTGGTTAGTAGCTGCTAGTAACCGAGGTAGTACTGTTAATTGGCCAGCCATTTCAGTAGCTTGTGTCACAATACTGGTTCACTTCTTTGGCTTCTTGGAACTGTATGCTTTTTCCTCTAGGATATTTCTAGCTTTCATTGTCCTCTGGTCCATCATTGTCAGTGCCTTGAGACCTTCTATTAGAACAACTGAATTTGTGAAACTTGCTTGGGTAGTTGGTATTTGCAATGGTTGCATACAGTAAATCCTAACTTCAGCATGACTTTCTTCTTGCCTCACATTCTTTAATGTAGTTGCATGTGTGTTTGTGTGAGAGGGAAGTCAGAATGCAGGATAGACATTATTCACATTCCATGCCAGTGGTTTGACAGTGTATTCTATTACTGATTTTACAGTGGTCAGGAATAAATCAAATGTGGTTTCAAGAAGTCTTTATTTTTATTTGTACCCACAAAGATAAATAGTACCATATGGTGTTAAAAAAAAAAGAAAAAAAAAAAAGAAAAAAAAGGAGACACTTAGGGCAAGCATAACGGCTTTGTAATATATAGCATATGTAGGGCTAGGTCATTGCTTGCCTTATGCACCTATAGGGGAAAGTAAAGCACCTTTTTATTTCCTTCCATGAGTTATATCCTCCATAGCAAATGGCATATGGAGAAGAACAGACACTCGAAGGCCACTGTTCCCTAAATAAAAGATGAATGAGGGAAAATGAGGAGGAGCCCTGATTGTAGTTTTTACTGGCCCACATAGGAAGTTAAGTAGTCTAGTACTGCTATAGCGAAGTAATGGATTACTTGATACTTAAGAGTAAGGATAGGAACTGTTGATTTAAGTAGAGATTCTCAAGTTGCTATTGCATTCCCTGCTCTGATTTGAGTTGTTTTTTCTCTGACCTGTAAAGTGTTCTTGCTAAAAAGAAAAGAAAAGCAGTCCAATTTTTGAAGAATCGTCTAGTGTTTTCTTTCTACTGCAAGTATTTTCCTTCAGTACTAGGTGTCTGTATATCTTAATAGAAAAGACATACACAATATTTTAACTGAGATATCAGATACGTAAATCCAGTATTGCCTTAGAGAGCCAGACATGGTCATTCATTTGTTTTTGTGCTGCATTAGGGAAACAAAAACAGCCTTGCTTAGAAAAAAATTAGCTTGGTTTTGAAGTTGTAGATTAACTCCCTCACATATTTTCCTCCACCATGAGCAGAGAAGGCAGCCGAGTCTGACCACAGTATATTTGTAAGACTAGAATGAGGTCTGATTTTGCAGATTTTAAATGGTGAAGCTAACAAATCTTCTCAGTACAGGGAAGATCGCTTTCTCTTGCCAAGATGGGGTGTACTTATGTTCAGCTCAGCTTTCAAAGGATGGTCTTTCCTGTCTGTTGAGGCATATGCAGGTCTGGAATGAATCCTTCAGAAGTTGAGCCTTAAAATTTTCTCCAAGTGGTGGCTGAGTGTGGTTCTTATTGAATATGTCATGGTTTCACTCCACATATATTGTTAGATCTACTTGTTTTAATGATAGTAAAGCTGCCTGTTTGAGGCCAAGTAAAAACAAGATAATGCAAAAAGGCTTACTGGTAAGTAACTTCTGAAGAAAACAAAACCAGATAATGATACCCTTTCCCCGAAATGATAGAGCATCTTCAGAGGAAAAGTCAAGGAAACAAAGGCAGAATGAGGTCAAAGGATTGTCCTGGACAGTGTTCTCCATTCTTTAGAGCAGCTAGTGGACTCCCTCTAGAGGGGACTGGGGTCTGTGGAGCGTACAAGTTATTGCAGTCCCATCAAGGATCCTTCACAGCATGTCCTTACTAATTCACCCAAACTGCATCTGACTTGTTTTTGAAGTTGTTCCATGCCACTGGTACTTTTTAGGGATCAGGACTGTGACCATGGAAAGCACATCTTTATTGGTATGACTGCAATCTGTTTGAAAAATATTAGTAAACAAAAAGTGCAGAGTACAAACCTGTGCTACTGGCAACAAATCAAAAAGGCCAGTTGTAATCTTGGATGCTGTTCACTGGTAGAATTGGGCATTTGGAGTCTGTGTGAATTTCAAATCCATGTTGGAGGATGCAAATGGATTAGACAGACTGCAAGCTCCAAAGTTGATCCATAACATTCTCCTAATGGTTTGGAAAAGTACATCGACATGTTGATCGTCATCTTCAAAATTTCAGCTCTCTGGCACTGTTTATGTTGACAGCATTTTTTTCTTCTGTGTGCACTGAAAGCAACTGAGGAATTTTCTGTAAGGAATTGCACTGAAAAGTAGTATTTTGAAATCATGCATTATTTCTTCTAAACTTGTCACAGCTGCCAAATAGGCAGTTTTCTGCTGAACTTGAGTCCTATGCTTATCTTTGCTTTTGGTTTGTTTTCTTTTCCCTTTTGGGAGCCATATTTATAATACACATTCTTTTCACAACTGCAGTGGTATTTTGGGTTCCCTTTTTCCACATGATTTATTCAGCCCAAGCTCAGGATTGTTATTCTAGTCAGATAGATAGAAAGAACCATGCTTGGAAGTCTTCACAGAAGCTCCACCTTTTGCTATCAGGGCTACTGAGGGTGTAATCAGATGAAATGCAGCTGAGCCAGATTAAGGAATCGTTATTTCAGCCTGCTCCTCTCTTGGTCTCTGCCTTTGTTCCTCTTCCCCCAGGTATGCAGGTGTGATTTTGCACTCTGATTCTGCCAAAATGACCTGTATTAGTGTAGAAACAGTTTAATAATACTTCAGATCATTCTGACAGAACCAAGTTAAGTACTTGTGACAAGTGCAGTTATTCTGGAAGAGCTACAAGAGGTGGGAATGTGCAGCAAGGAGGAACAGGTGAGCAGAAGATGGTTCATAAAGGGGGTGCAGAGTTAGGCCTTAGCTCTGTGCCACAGATCAGACTAGTAACAGGCTCATGAGGAGGGCTCTCCTCTACAGTCGATGATATTTGCAGGGATGTGACTAGAAAAATAAGTATTTTGCAATCCCCTTTGTGACTGAATTATCAACTATGAGGTTCTTGCTGGCACGTGCTCTGATGATCCGTGAGCTATTGCCTCAGGATCAAACACCCAACTTTCTTCAGGTAGTTTCAATTAGATGTGACCCCTGTGGTGGGATTCTTAGTCGTAGTAGTTTTTGTGGTGTTGAGGTTACTACAGGCCACAAGCTGAAATCTGGTTTGCCTTTCCTGTGTTAGAATCAATTGTATTATGATTTGGGTGGAGCACCCACAGGTGAGTTTCCACTGTCTGCATCGCTGTGTGCCCCTGGCCTCACTAACAGTATCCCAAGATTAATTTGCTAGCCCTTACCTAGAACAGCTGCTGGAGACCTGTGGAGCTCAGAGTTAAAGGAATGTAGACATTGACTTTTGTTAAGCAATTGGATCAATTGGATATTTAGAGCATTCTCTGGGTGTTTGTGTGGTTTTGGTTTGGTTTGTGTTTTTTTTTTTTTTTTTTTTTTTGGTGTTTTTTTTTTTTTGTTTGTTTTTTGTGCTTTTATTTAACTGGTTGTTATTTAACCAGTTTTCCTGGGAAAAAGGTTGTGTGGGTTTTTTTGTGTGTTTTTGTTTTGGTGTGTTTTTTTTTTTTTTTTATTTATTTTTTTTTTTTTAAAGATGATTAGCTAATGAAAATTCTTGGTATTTTGTGAGCCAGATATTAATGTGAATATTTCACTGTGATATTCAGATAATAGGGGCACATGTTTCCTACAGGAAAGAGCCATGAATGATTAATGAATGTTTCATTGTTCAGCTTTCAGTTATTTTACCTAGGACTTTTCCTACTTATTCTATAGTCCAGTTTATTGTGAAACTGGTGCCACCCACAGCTGCTGAACAGATTTACAGCATCTAGTAAAATCCCAAGGTCTTCTCAACAGAACTCGGTCTTGTTTCAAGTGGAAACATATTTTGGCTGAAGTGAATCCAACTTATTTTACGTCTATTTGATGTAGTTAGCCTTTGAGACCAAAAATGATGTTGTGCAGTTGAATCTTCATATTTTGGCTTCAGACTTGTTTTCATTAGTGGGTTGGGAGGGGAATAGGAGAGTGACTCTCCAGGTGTGGCTACATCATGCTATCTCATGGGTCTACTAATGTGATGTTTATACTTCTAAACCCAATTGCCTACAGCACTTCCTATGTGTTGCTTGTGTTGGCTGCTCAGTGTATTTTCCTAATTTTTCTATGGGTTTTACCCTTTCATCATTTATGACTTGGAAAAAACCAGTGAGGCTGCATGCCCATATTACCTGATACTACATGCAAAAAGATGGTAACACATTGGAAAATGTTTTATATTGCTAGCAAGAAAACATAAAGGTTTTTCTTGCTGGTGTGTATAATGTAGAAGACTGGGATTAGGGAGCCTTGTGTTAAACTCTTGACTGTTCTTGTGGGACTTTAGAGAAGTCACTTGGATTGGGCCTTAGT